CACACACACACACACACACAGTAACGTTCATTCTCGACACCTCCATCTTTTCAGTTTGGGGCTATCACACACGTTTTCAAGTCATTTCATCATCACGTGTCGACACCAACACGAGTGAAACATGTAAATTCTGTTAACTTGTTTTTTTTCCCTCTTTTAGCGACATACTTGTTGCTCAGCTCTCACTGCTGTGATGTTTGTTAAACTGTAGCTCCCAGATATTAACGGAAACCAGGTTTAATCCGTTTTGAAGCCTCGAGTTTGGCATTTTTTGTCCAACGCCATCTTGGATATTTGGAAACCAGAGGTATACTTGGAGGAGCAGGGGGTGGAGCCTGGCCGTGTCTTGAAACTCTTGAGGAAGATCTAGAATCTCCCTCCATTTTTTCCTGACCTTCATTTTCTTAAATACTCGAATAGATCACACAGATACTTTAAAGTTGACTATGTGATCCAGACTAGACGCACAGATGGGCTGAATAAATCTCACATCATTATTTCAGAGCACGCAGCCGCCTGTGCCAGTAAACACTGGGCGTCGATCAAACAGGCAGTCACGGAGTTTTAATGGAGCAGATCTGATGCGGCCAATATTGAGCCAATCACAGCGCCATAACACTGATGTTACGGCAATGCACACCAATCATTATCATCAGGGAGGTGGAGAGGGTGTGAGTGAGAGCGAAGAGGATAACGGCAGTGTGTGTTTTGTTGGCCAAGTTGTGGGTCTGTGTGAACACTGAGTGTGTGTTTGTGTGTGTGTGTGTGTGTGTGTGTGTGTGTGGGGGGGAATTTAAACATATTTCTGCTTGTATTTGCAGTTTGTGCACTTCACTGGATCCTGCAAAGTCTGTGTGAGTCAAATACGTATCTCTGTGTATGTGTGTTCCATACTAATTATTCCTGTGTGCAATATTTGTCCATGTGTATCCCCCTGATTACTCCACTATCTGTGTGTGTGTGTGTGTGTGTGTGTGTGTGTGGCCGTGATTTCCTTCCATCTCCTCTACAAGGTGAGTCCTGCTGACTTCAGCCCTGAAGACCAAGCAGGAAATTCAAGTATTTTCATACATTTAAAGACATATACAGGAGTATACACCAGAGTATACACTCTAACCCAGAAGTACACAATACACGGGTCACTCAGTAAGTATCCATCAACGTTTTTGTTAAAGGTATTACTCTGTGAACACAGGTCAGTCTTCACCTGCTCTTTGACTCAGAGTACACACACACACACACACATCTCTAGTTTCGGGAAAGTTGTGTGCTAACGTTGTGTAATGGACGAAAAAATAAAACGGATGTGTGAAAAGAAAATCTCTGAATACACTGTGTCCCACACAGTTGCAAGTAGATTGTGTATCTAAGTCTTGGACAATCAGGAAAAGTTCTGAATGCAAACATTTCATCTTGACGTTGAATAAATGTCTTTAAATTTTAAATTAAATTGAGCTATGTATTTTTAATGAGGGGCCCTTTTTGCTAGCAGCTCTATAAACACACTTTGTTAGAAGCTGATTGGGTGAAAGACACATTTTTCTGTCCACAGTTTTAAAATCTCACCTGAACATGTCTCCGAGTCCCTTCAGCATGCCCTTCTTGGCTTTTCCCTTGTCTCCTTTTTCTCCTTTGTCTTTCTCCTTCCCTCCCTCATGCTTCTTCTTCTCCTTCCCTCCCTTCTCTTTGTCCTTCTTCTTCTCCTCTTTGGTGCGGTTGGTGCCGTTGACCAGGGGCTTCTCTGTGCCAGAGAGCGGCGTCTGGTCGGCCATCGTGGACACAGAGTCTCTTCCTGAGCGTGAACTCTCCTCCGTGTCCTCCTCCACTGCAGAGAGGGAACGAAACAACAGACGAACGAGTCACTTTGCAGAACTAGGACACACGTGAAAATCAATGAGCCTAAAATAGTGAAAATCTATAGATCTTGTACAATCATGTCTCCAAAGTGTCAAAAGGAGCCCAACACAATTTAACAGCATTTTAAAAGTGACTGAAGAGCTCTGATCGATCGAATCAAAATCATGAAAATCAATCAGAATCTCATTTCACTGACTTTATAAATATAATTTTATGGTTTTAACTTAAAGGAACATAAAGATGGACGACTCCCACTATCGAGAGTCTGTGCAATATCGATCGGTGGATGTATCGTCAATTAAAAAGCATCAAATAACTAATTAAAACCAAACTTATCAGGAACACGAACACTTGAACGTAAATCAGTGTGAGAAGAAATACTTAAAATGACATAAACCATTTTTGATGTGTCTTTGACTTTGTAGTTTGGTCCCATCCACTAACATGGAGGAGTTTTATAACCAACACGGCAGATTGAGATGCTCCAGCTTCACTTTTATGAAGCTGTCGATTATTTGATGCCATAAAAACCGGGTGGATCGTTATTATTATTGAGCGTTGGTATCCAGGATATGTAGGCTTCATTTCTGGATGGTGGTTAGGAGTGGAGATGGGTCGTCCATCTTTATATATCTTTATTGTCTATGATCCTCATATATATACAGTCTACGCTCTGAAAGAATATGAGAACTTCCATGACTAATTTCCCCGCAGGAGGCCGTGAATCACAGGCTTCACTCTTGAAACTTCCTGTTCAAGGTGCCTCACATTGACGTGTGATGTATTTGGTATCTTGTCAGGTAGACGGTTACATCCTGAGTCAGCAAAACACCAAGGCCACAAGCAGCGGTGAAATTATCTCCGGGATATTGAGCATTAGTCAGAACGCCGTCACTCCCATGCAGACGTGCAGAGAGCCACGTCAGGGTTTTAATGGACCACACGGTTTCTGTGACGATGCTTGTTAGTAAATCATAATGCAAACAGTGAAGTCGTCAGTGTTATTGTTCCAGGAGTTATAGAGCGACCAATGTCTGCCGAGGGACACTGACCACACTTCCCCCGGATATGACAACTGAGCCATGTGGGGATCAAACCTGTGACTCTTTCCCGTTAAACACCGGGTGAAAGTGGAACGCGGGATATCTTACGCGTCTCCATGCCCTCGTCGTCCTCCTCCGTCGGGGCCGGTCGGTCGTAGGACTTGTCGATGGCGGCCCTGAAGCTCTCGTTGCAGCCACGCCCCCGGATGATGCGGGGGCGTGGCCTGTGGAAGGGGAGGTCGCCGTTGAGCGTTACCTCGGCAACAGCTGTCTGCAGGCTCTCGAGAGAGCTGGACTTCTTTAGGCCGAGCGAGGGGCCCACATCCTTTGTGGAGGAACCTGATGGGAGGATACAGAGGTTTGTGCTGCAGGAACATGAACAATTCAACCAGAGCTACGATGACGACGACGATGATGATGATGATGATGGAAGTGTTAATGACCTCATCAGCATTAATATTACATATTTTAGTATCTAATAACTAACTCCAGTCTATTTCTATTCTACAGCATCATCATCTAACCTCTTCTATCATTAGCTTGAAACAGCTGAACGGGGAAAAATAAATCTAATTTTCTCGGAGACGGATCAAAAATATTCCCAGCAGTAGTTCATCAATAACGCTGTAAACAAAGGTTTAATTAATGTCCATCCTTCTGTATTTTAACCAAACATGAATAAAGTTGTTATAATTCTTTTTATTACGATTATTTTTAAATTGTCATTGATTATCAGAGGTGAGTGAAAGAGAATTGGAATTACTGTCTGTACTGCTGTGATTAGTTTTAAGCCGAAGGGTTGACTCAACCAGTCGATGTTTATTTCCTACTCTACTTTATTTAAATTTTTACAAAAGCAAAATAAAAACCTACAACCTAGATGCTCTCCTGTCCTCTTTTCTTTCCATCTTCAAACAACCTTAAAGCACTTTTCCTCCGTGACACATCTTTACAATGATGAATAACTGAATCTGTCCAGAATCAATATGTTCACGTTGACCCTGGTTGTGATTGAAGTTGTGTTAAAACAGTCTCAAGGATAAAGGAAGATGAAGTCGTGTCACAGAATGATTTAAGACGATCAGAGAGACTTTTTTTTTTTAGCACAAAAATGTGACACATATTTCACAACAAGCCACTTCCTGTTGATTCCACATGACTAACAGGAAAAGCCAAGTGTGACCTCAGAAGCTTTCCACTTTGATTTCAAGTAGCTGCAGCTCTGTTGAGTCACTCTGTTTACGCTTTGAGCCGAAACCCTCGACCCTCGAGGTGAACGTCCACTGCAAACAAAACAAAACGTCAGGCTGCATTCTCTCGCTTCCCTTTTGTTCCCTACACTCGTATTTTTAACGACTCCGTTCTCTGCCACAACACAGTTTACGAGACACTGCTTCTCCGTGTCCATGCTGCACCCTGCTCATTTCATGATTCAACGAGAAAGACAGTCATTCCTCTAAGAGTCCCGTTAAATTCAATCACACTCATACATATCAGTCCCCTTAATATTTCATCAAGATCCATGAATTGTTCCCTGAGAAAAAGTGAAAACGTCAAAAAGCGCTTGATCTCAAAATCTAAAAGAAAGAGATAAACAATTCCTGAATCTTCCCCCTAAAATTAACGACTTCTCTCTCGGCCTTTGTCTCATCCTTCAACAAAGAAATACATCCCAGGAGTTTTTACATTATCTGATGGTCCCAACAAACCCCTCCAAGAAACACCAACCAATTGATGGGGGCAAAAAGGTGATTACGCACAAGGGTCTGCCCAAAATAGACTAGATCCATAAAGACGATGTAGCCAGTGAACACAGAACACAGAAACCATTTCATCCAAACAGAAAAGAATCATCTGCTCTACAAGAACCCGCCTCGTCTCGGAGGACAATAAGGAACTCTGACAGTGGCAGAAAATATTTAAACACCGTTTGTTTTACTGTGAAAGAAGCCGATCGATTGAGTGTATTTGTGTGCAGCTCTTGACTCACGACACATTTCACCGACTACGAGATGTGGCTCGGAGAAACATGACAGTTTAATTAAACTAAGACCATTTGTTTAGCGGCGCCGGCCTAATTTCTCTTCCTATATGACGTGATGTTGAGAATGTGAACGGTGGAATATAAATGTAGGACGATAAGTCGAGGAGGTGAAGGGAAGAGTCTTAATCTCCCGGGTGGTGTCACGTCAGAGCTGCTGTAGCAGGAGGGGAGGAGTGAAGGAAAGAGAGCAAGATGGGAAGGGAAGGATCGAGGGAAGAGGAGATAAAGATAGAAAGAGAGGAGAAGGCAGCCTGCTAACGCCGCAGAGTATTCTCAAGTAGTTCCTTTGGAAAAGTTTTCTTTTGCCAATCCGACAGAAAAAGAACAAAAATGGAAAACATGCACAGAGAACAAGTGGCTGCCTCCCATTCATTCTCATCAGCCTGTCCGCTCCCCTTAACGTCTCGCCGAGAGTCGGGCTGATGGCTTTTCACGCCGCACACCCACTTCATCTAAAGGCTTAGCCTAGCGCCTTTCACTCCAGTCACACTCCAGTGGCAGTCAGCAAAAAAAGGATGATTTACACTGTGTTGGAGATCTGACAAACGGTATTTAATGTTCTTAAAATACACGAGTGTCAAATAACCTGAAGATGAAAACCTCGGTTCAGAGACGTCCGCACGGCCTCTGAGAGCGTACGAAGGAAATTTGGAAGAAACCGCTTCTTTGGGATAAAATATCCTTCATTGCATACGTAGGGAATTTGACAACAAGCCAAAGGTTTTGATTATTTTTTTCCAAACTGGCGAGTGAGTTGTGAATAATCTCTGTCGACGTGTTTGGACAGAGTGGACGCTTCGCTCCATCTGCAGATAAACATGATCCTACAAAAGCTTCCACAGTAGTTTACATTGACAAATACAGAGGAATCGTGCAGCAGCTGGAACACAGACAGGTCAGATTGGTGCTGACACCGGACTCAGCGGAAACTGGCAACAGCCAAATGATTGATTCAGTCTGAACAAAGGAAATCACATAGACTTCACTGCTCTTTGTCATCTCTATGAAGAACCTATAACAGAAACAGCTCCAAAACTGTGCATCTAGAAAGGTGAGGAAACAAAGGAGGCCACAATATTGTCGAATCCTCCAAATCTTAACATCTGTGGTGGCCCAGTCCATCCTCTGGAAAACTTCTGTGCACTAACATCAAATAATGAATTCTATTAAATATTTTCTACTTCCCCTAAACACAAATGTATTTGATGAGTGAACTTTACAGGAATCACTTCCACACAGAGATTTATAATGTTTCAGGCAACAGTCCAGTGTTGTCCTCCATCGCTGACGTGTCCGAGTCCAACATGTGGCAACGGCCTGTGTCAATAAAACTCTCGGCCAATCGCGGTTCGGGAGACGAGCGCTACCATATCCCATCTCTCAGAGCTGTCTCAGTCTTCGGTTTCAGAGGGACTGGTTGTGTTTTGGCTTTGGTAAATGGACCATGGATTATTTACACTTAGCGGAGAGGACAAATTATTTTAACAAGTTGGTAAAGTGACACCAGGGGCCCCACCGAGTAAAAATAAACCCCGGACACTTAACAAAAAAAAAAAAAACGGGGGAAATCTATTAGCCCAAAACATCAGGGAAATTGACAGGGTATTATATTACAAACTTTAGAACCACATCCTCCTCTCATAAAGTTCACACCAAATATCCACCTAATAAACGCTCACTCGGTATCTGCACCGAAGAAATCTGAAAATGTAGCGAGGAAATCAATGAAAAAGCAAATCACCGCAATTCAGACAAGACAATGGAGCCTGATTAAACTTTCTTACCAGCAGAAACAAGAGCTCTCATATCACTGGCACGTTTTCATTTCACTTAATGAGCCCATTGAAGGCCTTCAATGACTTTAATTGGGGACCTGCATGAATTCCACAAACACGAGATTCTCTGAGATGGATGTTGTGAGCTGGGGAGGTTTTGTAAAACAGGTAGAGACAGTGAGACAGACACAGAGCAGATCAACAGATGATTCTCCACCAGTGTCACAACAGTGAGTCAAAGAAACCATTCGCTGAAAATGATTTCATAAAATCAACACTTGATTAATCAGTTTCATAAAAAGGATAAATATTTGTAGGTTATGGCTTCGACCGTGCGATGGTTTTCCACGCAGTTTTAAAATGTTTCGAAAGAAAGTATTAAAGACCCGAGTGGAGTTTTCTGAGTTCCTACAACACACATGTCGATCCTCTTTTCTCTCTCTCTCTCTCTCTCTGATCCTCTCAGTCCTCACACTTCATTATTGAGCAACAGTTCAAAGCTGCACCTTCAAGTTACAATAAACTGCCCAAAGAGACTTTCTATCTCAAACTCTGAACCTCTCATCTCTCTTTCTTCATCTTCACGTCTTCCTTCAACTGGATCTGTCCTTTTGTCCAAGTCACTGATTTCAGAGGCAGGCCCTCTATTCAGTCGAGGCGACAGTAAAAACACACAGGGCTTGACAATGACGGATGGCTCGCTGTCAGCTCGCTGCCTAAACCAAGGACGGACTGCTTTCTCGACTTTCCCTCTCCACACACACACAAAACAATTAGTGCTACGGCCGCATCTGAGGCAAAAGGGAGAAAATCAAATCTGTAGTCACCCGACTGCTTTCACGGCCGTGTTCAGCAGCGACCTCAAACTGCGGCGAGAGCTGCAAGTTCTCGCTTCACAGTCTGACAAATTTGCCTTGTCAAGAGCGAGCAAAGCACCGAACGCTACGCAGATGCATAAAGAGCAGAGCGGTGGATAAACCTCCTGAAACATAATCTGCAAGTTCTCCTCTGAATTTATATTTTTGGATCAATACGTGCAATTTAGAGCCTGTCACCGTTGTTCCTGTACAATTTGTGTCACCAGTTATGAATCGATCGGCTCGACCAAACCGCAGACGCAGGCTGAGGTTCATTTGTAGTTCTTGGCACAAAACTCTGCTTCACCTCTGCAGCTAAAACTGCCTCCAAAAAGGTTTTATTATGCGTCGTGATATAAATACATCACAGTCCTGATTCTATCGAACAGGAAGGTAAACAGAGCAACAAGGACGGAAAGCAGATCTGATGATGACGTGTTGGAATTCGGTCAGAGGGGCGTAAGTTGGATTTGAGACTCTGACTGTGCTGATGGAATACACTTTAAAGTTTGTTTTTGCAATCGGTATTAAATTAAGATTTAATTAAGCTAAAATGAATTTGACAGATACGCCGCTACCTGTCACAGGAGGAGGTAACTGCGATGTAAATTTCGCATGATTAACAAACACGTCAAGCTCCTCCATGTTTACAGTACCTGTCACTTCAGTAAATCCATGTAATGTACATTTCCACAGCACTAACTCACTCAGAAACATACTCACCACCAAACCAATCAGAAACATGAGGACTGGAACAAACATCAGCGTGAGGAGAACGAATTGAACAGACAGAAAACCATCTGATGACTTTTTTTTAGTTTGGTTCATGTCACATCCAGTAACATGGAGGAGGCAGAGTTTATGACCTTATGCTGCAGCCTACCACCAGGGGGCGATCGAAATGCCTTGGCTTATCATGTCGTCCATCTCTTCATACATTCTATGGGCTGTTGCTATGGAAATGTACGTTATACTGAATTTTACCATCCGAGCTGAGACATTATTTAAATATTATCTGTTTTACTGAGATTCTGTTAAATGTGTTCAGAAAATATTTGACTGTCAGCTCTCATGAATCATTCACCACTTACACCCCTCAGCACCTGACATCAGAAATTCACTCTGAGCACAAGAAGTGATGGTGATGGTGGCGAAGTTAAGTTTTTCCTTTCTCTCAGTGCACCGGTCCTTACCTGCGTCGATCTCAGGACGAGGGGTGAGGTTAATCTCATCGGCTACTGTTAAAGGAAGGGGGGGGGGGAATAAAAGAGGGGAGGGGTACAAACATTTGGGGCTCAGTTAGTGCTCACGACATTCCGCATGCAACATCCAGGTAGCGCCGCAAACACATCACAAAACGGCTTCGTCTCAATTAGGATCGGACGCCATGCGAGACAGGGAGGTGGAGGGGTGGGGGTGAAGAGAGGAGTTTAAGGATAGCAATCAAGACTTGTTGATATCAACACGGCACAGAGCGGCAATCGGGTCCGGAAGATTAGATATGATTATAGAGAGCAGAGAGAGACAGTGGCAGCCAAAGCAATCAGCGACTGTTCGAAGCCATTTCAAGGTGAATCATCACACGGCAGTTCTTGACTTTGGCGAGAGAGTCTGTTTTCACACAAAGAGGCGAGGCGTTGGAATACATTTGAATAGAAGGTGAAACACGGGGGCGTGCAGTGGGATGAGCTCGAGGTTACATGAGAGCTGGTTCTTTAAGGGTCCCACAGACTTTAAAGTGGCTCAGGTGCACAAATGACTTCACAGAAATACTGTGTTAATGAAATCCTCAAATGCTGAAGCTTCTTAAAGCAGTTGACCCGACTGATTTTTCCCCACCAATAAGTATTTTAATATTAGGTTTTGCGATAATGTATTCACATTTACTTTTTACCTCCACTGGACAGATTATGACGAAACTTATTATTACTGTATGGGTCAGAGAAGGACCCATTAAATTTGGAGGCGGATCAAAATAAATGGGCGGACTTTGTTTCCCTTTCTTTGCACCGTTTCCTATAGAATTAATTCAATATATGGCGCAAAGTACTAAACACAAACTAAAGAATGAAAGACAAGTTCTCCAAGAGAGAACTTTATTGTGTAGCTGAAACTATGAGGTCTGAGTGTGGACAGTAAAAACTTTATGGACGATAGCGTGAGTGGAGACATAGCTACACAATGCAGCAATGGACCGAAAAAACAATTTAGAGATCTCTTATTATGAGGAATGTAAATGAATGAAGCCAATCTGGAGAGACTTCTAGAGATTCAGGGATATAAAAACATCGAACATTTTAAAATGGATTTGCTTTTGACAGAGTGGAGACAACGTTGTACCTAGATCCATGCTCTTGGACTTGCGTGTTTTGATGATCTCCAGCTGCGAGGCGTCTCCGAACTGCTTGGTGCGTTTCTCCGACATGCTCTGTCGGCCAAAGCCTTCCCTCCGGAACGCACCATCTGGATTATTTTCATCTGGAATCACGGAGCTGGATGGAGGGCGTTAAAAAGACAAGGAAATTAAAGTGTCACAGCACCAACGGGAAGTAGAATGACAGATGGAATATATTAAATAACCTTTAAAAAACTGAATATTCTGAAGCATTTCCTGCTTCTTCTGTATAAATATGAGAAATTAAATATGAAAATAAGCTATGACAGGAGTTAATAAAGTGGCATGGGGACGGAGTGAAATGAGGTTCAAATAATCTAATGTCTTTGAAATCATAGGATTCAAAGAAGGAAAAAAGAGGATGAACAAGAGATGGAAAAAAAATCTACAAAAGGATTAGGAGAGATGAAAAGTGGAAGAAAGTGAGAGAAAAGAGAATTGGGGCGATGAGAAAAAGGAAGTAAGAAAAACAAAGGGATGTGGGGAGACGGCATAGGGCTAAAAAAAAAAAAAAAGGGGGTAGAACTGAGGACAGAGAAACTGAGGCTGAAAGAAAGTTAACGAGGGGGAAGGAACGAGAAGAAAGAGATGATGGAAAGAGACAGAACGATAAATGGAGGAGGAGCAAATTACAGGAGGCAGAGGGACGGAGTCGTCATCGTCCTCGAACACAGGAAAAATATTCATCACTTTACGATGAATTATAGATGATTGATTTCACACAAACAAGATGGACGACATAACAGCTCCCCAAAGGTGAAGCCAAATCATCTTGATCGCCTCCTAGTGGCCGGCAGCAGTATAGTTCATGAAGCTCACCTCCCCATGTTAGCAGACGGGACAGATGTGTAGCTGCTCGGTTGAGTTAAAACCTGAAACCTGCGTTCAAAAGTGAAGACGCCGAATGTGTCTGCACTTTCTGGCGTCAGAATCGCTTTGAAAAACCTTTTGCGCGAACAATGAATCCTGGGAGAATCTGGCCGCGCTCCTGTGACGCATTAGGTTTTAAAACGCAGCCTCACACTGTTCGAGTGTTTTCTGAAAAGTTTGGTTTTAACAATATAAAAATGGGGTAAAACATCACGATTGACAGCTGAGACTGAAAATTGCAAGTGCAAGCTTCATTTTTTGTACAATGGGAGGAAGTGGAGATGCGTCGTCCATCTTTATATACAGTCTATGACACACACACACACACACACACACACAAGACACAAATCAAGACGGTTCCTCATTAGCGCTGTGTCAGAGCAACGGTTCGTCACATCAGGTTGAGAGGCCGGAACCGAGCGCTGCTTACAATCAGCAGCCAATCAAAGAAGGGAAAGAACACGACACCACGACACAGCGACCTTGTGCTGCGATGAGGGAACAAGTCAAACCGGAGCGATTCTCCAAATTCAGCTGGAGGTTTTTTTTTTTACGCTGCGTGTGAAAACCCGAGGAGGAAACACGACGCTTCGGTTCCACCTACCTGTCATTCTGAGCGGGCGGCGCTTTGGCCCACGGAGGCGTCGTGTCAGCCGTGAAGCCCACGTCGTCGTGGGAGCTGGATGACGACTGGTCGGAGAGGTGAGGCGGGAGGAGCGGCGGCCGGTCGTCCTCGATGATCACGGTGTCGTTCTGTGGCATGTTGACGGTCGGTGAGAGCTGGTAGTTTCCTGCAGGAGACAAGAGCGTGTTTTCGTTCTTATAATCTTTTGATGATGGATTCACATTCGCACCTTCACTCTCGCGACCAACACATCTTCCTCATGTCAATGACATTGATCTTTTTAGTGTCATCACCATGTCAAGTACAGAGAACTGTCTGAAACTACTTTGATTATTACCTCGTCAAGGACATTATGTTCTCACTCTGTTTATTTGTTGGTTTTTTTGTTTGTCAGCAGGATTATGAAAAAAACGTCTGGACAGATTTCCATGAAAGTTGGTGGAAGGATGGGACATGTGTCAGGAGAGACGAGTTCTTCAAGGATCAGGGTACAGGTATTTATTAATAATTTGTTTTGACATTTTTACAGCGATATGGACACCGGACCCCCCGTGACTGAATGAGCGATACCGAGGCTCCTTCCCCCGATCACTGCTGCTCAGACTCTGGCTCCAACATGGCAGCGTTCCTGAATGTTTCTGTCTTATAGATGGTGGGAGGATGTGGGAGATGTTCCAGACACCACGGCTACCGACTGAGAACGATGTAAATGTTTTTAAAATGCGATGTTCTACCTCACCAACAAATGGACAAACGATCTGAACAGTGATTTTTTTTCCAAACTGTCAGGATGACGTTCAGATTAACAGGATAAAGAACAAGCTCCAAGGAAAATGTAAGAATAATACAAAACATAAAAAAATAAGTGTAGCTGGTCATTTCTCAGCTCAACACCCTGAGGAGGGAATTTATTAGCGACAGCAGGAAACTGCTGCGGTGAAATACAAGTTTCCAAAACATTTTTTGAAGTTGAGTGAAACTGCTGCTGGCTAATCAGCTTACACCGAGCGGAGTTTGGCAGCGGGCACAATGGTGTTCCTGTGTCAAAACACTATGATTAATTCAAGCTGTGACCTCACAAATAAAGATAAAAAACTTCACTGTGCTGAGGGAAAAAAAAAAAAATAGTCTCTTTTTCAGCCTCTGAAAAGCGAGGCTTAAAAAACCCCCATTGATATGCAGCGCATGACTTTGTCTTTAATCTGTGTTTTCTAAATTGGGTGCATGGGGGCTCCTCGGCATGAAAAGAAGGGCGGCTTCAATGCTTCATAAAAGCCATGTGCACGGAGCTCAGGGAGAAGGTTGTTTGTCTGGAGAGGGAGTTTGGGGCCTTAAAGCCGAGGACCTGGAGGTCTGAGCCAGGCGAGCACGGAGGGAATCAATGTGCTACTGAGCGCTGCTGCGTCCAGCCGGTGCGGGTGAATGACCTGATGTAAATGGAAATGAATGGAGGGGAAAATGGGAGGGGGTGTGTGTAAAAGAGTGTGTGTGTGTGTGTGTGTAGTTTAAAAAGTCATTATTCTTTTGTTTCCTCAAATACTAAGACGCTATAAGTGGAAGGTTTTTCAGAATTTATCGCACTTTTATGTGTTTAGAAAGTGTGAAAGTGGGGAGACATCATTTTAAGGTTCATTCTGGATCGTACCTGGATGAACAACTTATTGAGAATCATAAAAAAACTTCCTGTTAAAGGCTCATATCGGCCAATTTTTCGTTAAATTATCTGTTAGATGTTCATATTCAACTTTACATGAAAGTTCTACCCTCTGGAATTTGTCCAATAAGTGGAATAGTACAAAGTAAAAAGGTTTTGTAATATTGTAAATGCATTTTTTGCAGTGTTTTAGTGAGTTGCTGATCATAAATAAGGGAGAAATCATCGAGAGTCTATTTCTAAAATCAATTAAAAAATAAAATAATATATTATATTATATATATATATAAGAGCAGCAGATAGAAGTGTCTGACAATGTGTTTTGAAATGAGCCTTTCTTCTCAAACACACACAACAAGTGAGGCGGCATTGAAAAAAGTGTGTGAGTTCATGCCCTTGACCCTGTTTAAGACTTTCACTGCGTCAACTACAACTGTTGCACTCTGTGTGTGTGTGTGTGTGTGTGTGTGTGTGTGTGTGTGTGTGTGTGTGTGTGTGTGTCCCCTCCTGCTGTGTTTGTTATTCACTGTGATTTTAGGTGGGTGTAGCATGGTCACCTCTCGCTATGACCACGCGCACACACACACACACACACACACACACACAGAGATCCACTTAATCCCATTTCCCTAAGCAGTCCAATGCGCAACACTGAGAATCCCATCAATGTCACAGTTTGAATCACTGCAGTACAATCAACTGGCAGCGAGTGAGTAGAAAACCAATGAATCTGTCAGCTCAGTCGCAGGGTAAAAGGAGAGAGAGAGAGAAAGCCTCTTTGTCTTAGTGCCAGCCATCCGCCGGCAACAATAGCACTGCCATGCAGACGGAGCGCACCGCCAGCGTCACCTGGAAATCAAACCAATAAACACGCATTATGTTTCCCAGTGGCTGTAATAATTTCTCACTGAGCTGCGGTGGAACAATACACCGGCGTTTCATTCGAGATGCTTTCTGTGCAAAACGGCAGAACGCTCGGGGGGGCAGAGGGGAAACTCACGGCAGAGGGAGGTTTTCGAGATGAAAATGGAGACGGGAAGAGGTGAGAATAACATGGAGGAGTTTTTCTTTTTTCATTTCATCTTGCCTCGCTCTATTTGCATAATTAGTAAGGAGGTTATTGCCAGGGGTGCTGGGCCTTGAAAGCTACTGGCCTGGAGGAATAATTAAGTCACTCTCTCTTATCGCTGCCATCTTCAGGGTGCAGAGAGCCGGCGAGCGATCTGAGCACGGGCCAGAACCAGAGCCGATATGTTCTGAATGGGAATGATGTTGTTTTCCAAGAAAGCCTAATGCAGGATTTATGTTTCGTGGTGCTCTCCCCTCACAACGAATGAACAGGCCAGTTTATGAGCAACTGTGAGAGAGACCCCCCCCCCCACTCCCCGCCGCCCCGAGCACATGAACAACTTTATTTATTCAAGGGAAGTTTGCTGAGCGCTGCTTCGTATTCACACAACATTCACATCTGCCAAGTGCTGCTCCAGTCTTCACAGACGTTGGCTTCTGAGCGGCAGCAGCTGAGAGTCGGGCGTCTGCCTCTCCAGACCATTCCGCCGCGTTCAGACCAGACATGACACAACCGCCGTGGGTGAATCCGCAGATTGTGTGGAAACAGTAAATTAGCCTATGCATTCATCTGCGGCGATTTTCAACTTGAGACCACACGTGTCGAGAGTTACGAACCGTTCAGCTGGTCTGTGACCATAAACACAAATACTGCTCCAAGCATTAGTCAGGCTCCCCAAATGCAAGGGTTGGTTCTGCTACATTACACGTGAAGAATCCACAGTTTTTATTTAATTTTTATTTATGTGGTATGTAGACAAGCAGACAGTTTATACTGTCCCTGTTTGGAGGTCTCCGACAATCAGAATCAGTTCAGTGTGGATTTAAATGAAGTTTGGGTTTGCACACGTTGGCTGAACCGTTGATTGATTTGATCTACAACGCACAGGCCTGTAATGAGTGAAAACACTGAGCTGAGCTGAATCCCCGAGTCAGGCTTGATCGCAGCCCAGGCAGCACTTTAGTACCGAGTGTTATTCTCATTTGTAAACAGACAAATGAAGACACGTTTTTATTTAATCTGAAGTTCCTCAGATAACAAGTAACATTCTGAACACAAGGGATCAGTTAAGAAAAAACCCTGGTCAATAGTTAATCTCAAAATTACATTTTAATGCTTTTTTAATTCCCTTTCTGTTGCTTCCTTCATATGAACTTAACTTGAACGTGTGTAAATGTCTCAGCTTTCCACTGGGGAACTCAATGAAAGATGAATATTTAGTTGTTAATATATAAAACAGCTTTACAAATTTTGTGTCTGCACGCTGAAGGAAGAACCTGTTTCTGACCCACGTGATCTTTATCTCCTGTGTCTGGCTGAACAGTGACAAATTAAAAAAGAGTTCAAATCAAACTTTAATCCTCTCCCTACCTGTCCAATCTCACACTGACATACAAATCTGGAGAGTTATTTCCTGAAAAAAAAAAAATACTTTGATATCTCTTGTTCGGGCCTCGCACGTGGAAAACTCATTCTGAAACCACGTGAGGGACGAAGACCCAAAATATTTTCCACGACAAAGTGTCGCTGAAATTTCCCTTTTGGTGGTCAGGAGAAAAAACAGAAATAGTCCACTGGGCTGATTAAGTGTTTAATAAGCAGGGAAATGTCTCAAGTGTCTACGATAGTTAGTAATTATATGGATCCTCCTCAGGCCGACCTCTGAGGTCTCCTGCATCTGGTGTCCCGATCGGTTGGTGAAATATTAGACGGGGGAGGTTTCCCCCGGCCACTCTGACATCTTCATCTCTCCGCTCGGTCCGGTTCTGAAGTGAAAACACTAAAACACACACGAGGCGGATGATAAGAAAGCTGCAGGCTCCGGTCGATGATGAGTCACGAGGCACATGCTGTTGTTTTTTTAATCCTCGGAGGTCGAGGGATGGATGTGACTAAACACTGTCTCAGCGCTGAGGTGACGTTATCTGTGGCATAATCCCTCTGTTGTTAGCAGAGCTGATTACGATACCGCACCACGTTCTGGATGGTATTTAATCTTGAGGATTGAGGGCAGAGGATCAAATACCAAGAACGACTTTGTGTTTTTTAATATTTACCTTTATTTCAGACTCAAAGGCCTATATCTTCCTTGGGTCATGCCCAACCCCTCAAAAATATTCTTGTAAATCTTTGTGTAATCTTACCAACTAGCAAACTAACTCAGGCAAAAACACAACCAGAGGTTAATATAGAAATATAATTGTCACACATGGAGTAAAACATGTACAGACATTAGTTCCAGTGTTACCAAATAACAAAATGAGTACATTGTGTCCCCTTGTCAGGGAAGGCCTAAATGATTACATGTTAATATAAAGTTAATTATTATTATCAATACTGTGTGTTCTGGTTTTGTAAAAGCCCAAACAAATTGCTGCTGCTGACTGTCCTCATTGTTTCTGCTGTCTGTCCTCATTGTTTCTGCTGTCTGCCCATATGAATGTGTGTTGTCTTCTGTCCCTGCAGGAGTGTGTGAGGAAGTAGAGTCCTCAGTGTCAGCAGAGCAGCAGTCAGAGATAAAAGTGGGGATGTTGAACGGAGGACGAAGGATTGACTATGTACTTCAGGAGAAACCCATCGAGAGCTTTAACGAATACCTGTTCGCCATCCAGTCACATCTGTGTTACTGGTGAGTCATACATACCTGTTCACAGGTGGGGTGAACACCTGCAGTACAGTAGGTACTGCTCATTAGATTTGTTCTTTTATGAACCTGATATTTTCCCTTTGTTGTATCACATTTTATGATGCCGATTATTTATTTATTTTAAATATAAAGAAATGACACCGTCCCCTCACTTTGTCTCTCTGTTTTTCTGTCTGTTAGGGAATCTGAGGACACAGCTCTCCTCCTGCTGAAGGAGATCTATGACAAGCAGGGTGTGGCCTTTGAACAGCCTCAACAGTAATAGGAGTTTTTACGAATGTGAACTGATGTGACAAGTGAGAAAATGAAGGACATTTGGCCGAGCCAGAGGCTGCATGAACCTCCTCCAGAATGCCTTACCGTCTGGTTTTTACCTGACCCACCAACAGTGGATACTGTTCGGCTGAGCTCAGGAGATCGCGTTCCAGACATGTCAGTCAACCTTCATCTGAGGTAGAGACGGCCTCTTTGTGCTGATGAAACTCTCACTCGGCAGGACTGGGTTTCAAATCCACCCGGACATCACTGTCATGTCCCTGATAGCACTTTTCTTTTTTTTTTAATTAAAGTCATTGTTATTTTATGTTACTTTGCACTNTTTGACTTCTCAAGATCGTATATGTCCTTTTTCAGCCTCACAATCTTGCACATGTCTCAGATTAAAAGGAAAAACAACCTCCTGCTTTTCATTAAATCTCCAGATCGTGATTTCAGTTTCATGCACAACGTGTCTGGAATAAGTTTAAATGAAATGTTGATTTTCTACAGTACTTTCGGAGTTCACGCATTTACCGACTTCACACAGCATAAACTCACTGCAGTTATAAAATCACTGGACCAGCAGATACAGCCATCACATAATGAACTCCCCCGTCACCGCCGAGCAGACGACTGCTGCATCTCCTGTACATCTGTCTGGTGCTTCCACAGCCGACCCTGTACGCTCATCATGAGCCCTCGTTGTTTGTTCAGCGCGGATGAACACAGCCGCCGCTGCACCGTGCTGGAACTTCAACTATGAACACTTCCTCCGTCAACTCACTTCTTTGTTTACACTTACAACAGTGTCAGTGTCAACCAATTTGCATGAGAGGAAAACAAGAGGTCACATTCTGGTGTTGTGTTGCATTGATTAATGAGGCGGAGTTCGTCAATTAAAAAATAGATGAAAAGTTGGTGCGGCAACTCCACCAACTCTTCTTCTGCTTCATTAATTTACATTAAGATCTTCTGTGAACCTTCTCTTCAGCACTAACTTGTAAAAAACCCAGCAGAGGAAGAGGTCAAAGTATTTATCTCAAATCACATGCATCATTTTGGTTTTCTGAGAAATGCAAAGAAATTAAACTGCGGCAGAAATGTAAGAAACTAAGGAGACAAACCATCTGGTAAAGAAATCTTTCTTTGGCATGAGGCGACTTCAGCACCCATCCATCAATCATCCACACAGTTCCAAACCAACGTGTGCACGGCTCCCACGCAGATTAGAACATGTTTACTAATCGCTCACACTCGAACGACACAAACTTATTTCCAAGCAAAGTCAGCGAGAAAAGAGATGAATGAGCGTAAAAACTAACACGTCTAAAAACCGTGAATGTAAATTTCAGTCCAATCGTTTTGAATTTGTAAACAGTCAGAAACAGGAATACTTCGCAGTGAAAGAAACGACGGTCTCACCTATGGTGCGCGGCATCATTCCTTGTCGTGGCATCAAGTTGTCATCGAGACCCTCCAGGCCACCGTACAGGGAGTGAGAGATTCTGCGCTCGTGGTCGTCCAGAGAGGTGTTCATGGTCTGCTGGGGTCCCAGCGGGCTGCCTGGTGTCTCCTGGTTAAAAAAAGAAGAGGTGAAATTAAAATAAAAAGTTTCCATCTCGGGCTGTTTGGTTAATGTTTCTGTTTGAATAGCTGAACCACTTCAGAATCTAAGAGCAGATACAAGAAAGAGTCCTTGATTTAATGCTCAATCCAAAATAGAAATGATTATAGATCTATAGATTTAACATGAGGGGAAAAAAAAGTCCAACGAGCACCAAATAACGAAAACGCTGCAGAGCTAGCTTTGATGATATCTGTTGAACAGTGGTGAATGGACACGAGGGCTCGTCTCCATGCTAATGCTAGCCGTGTGATAAATGAGGATGGATTTCCAATAGGCTGTTGAGCCACAGGCAGTTAGCTTTCCTGACATTTCCCTGAGGACCTGTGATGACACTCTCTTGTTTGCTGGACAAATAGACCATTTGCTGGCCCCGTCTTCCCTAAACATCCACTGCCTGCGTTGGCTCTCCTTGTTTGTCCATTGGATCGTTGGGTGTATTGATTCGCTACGGTTTCTGCATTTATTACTGAAGACGATGACAGCCCTCGCCATAAAGATAACCATCACCGCCAGCATAGCGTGACGGGCGATAACGGCATCACATTCGGGTCAATATCGGAGCCAAATTACCCCAATCAATGACTGTAACTAGCGGGGCTGGGGTTTCGATTTTGGCAGAAGGTCTTTGCCCAATGATCCTTTCAGCTCACTAGATGCTTGAGTCGCTGGAATTACCGCGGCAGACGCGACTCTGTTGTAAACAAACAAGTCCGGTTTATGGGAGACAACGTTGTGTGGACACGTGAGGAGGAGGGCGGATGAAGTGCACTTCAGATCAGACGACGGCGAAAAATTTTCACTTGCAAAAAACATGCTTATCATTTTTTGAAGGGGTTTGGGTAATATATTGACATGATACAAGTCTGTAGTATCCAATATTATAGTAATATTTATGAAAAAGATGAGGATGCATTAATGAACTCAGAATTCATAAAACCATGGCAACAGCTGTAAAGATGATCGAAGGTTTTTAATAAACTAAAAGTGAAATTCTGCAAATAAATAATTGATTTCAGCTTTTAATTAAATGCAACGTCTCGCTCTGAATTGTTATAAATAAATTGAAAAACTGAGACAATTTGTTTTGATGTTCTGAAAATGTTGTTTAATTGACACACATCTAAAATGTAGAATTTAGAATTGCACAAATTATATTTTAATTTCATAGTGTTCAATTAGTCCATTGACTCGAAGCTAAATGAACGAACATGAAGTCCACCGCAGAAACAAACTTATTTCTAACTTATTTCGCCGTATGGCGCTGTGACTGCTCCCGTGCGGCTTCTCTCGACTTTAAATGAGACGCAGTAGTTAATGGATCGGCAAGCTGGAGGGGTCGGGGTGAGTCGGCTCAGTGTGAGTCGAGGGGATTCGCCATACTGCGGGCGCATTGACAAATCACACGGCAGCTCATTGCATATTCAGGGCGATAATTGAGCTCCGGGAAGGTCTCGATCCCATCAGGTGCCGGCTGGGATGAGGAAGTCAGCTGCTCGGGGTTCGCCGTGTTTCTGTGGGGATGGAGGAATGAACCGGAGCGTCTGGGCTTGTGATTTATGCAAAAGGCAAAGATTTCAGATTGATCTGAGGTCATCTGTCAAGAGACTGAGACACAGGGAGGGAAGTAAATACAGGATTATTTGATCTCATATGTCAGTAAATGTCAAAATGAGTCAGAGCTTTCCACCTATAGTAATCCGATATTATTTGATTTTAACTAGTGGCTGATGGACAGCTGGTTATGAGGTATTAACAATCTGTAGGGACTCTATAGGGACTTTATAAATCAGCTCTGAGCCATATCTGGGAGTGTGAGTGCATTAAATTGTTGTTTCTCTTCTCTCTGAGTGTCTTGGACACTATTTCTTATAAATAGCCAGACACTTTGACAGCCTCAGGCCATGCCTCCAGCTCTGCATGTGAAGCAGAGATTGACGAGACTCCCAGAGCTCGAATTTTATTCATCCACCATGCTCTCTGTGAAGTGCCACTGCCATGACATGTCCACAATACACACACATCCACACAGGGTATCTGTTTACAAACGAACACACTGCAAGATCCTCGAATATAAATGCACACATGCATAAGCTGGATGTACAAAAACACAAACTACACACACATACGCACACGCGGTGGGGGGGGGCAGACACAGAGTTGTGTGCACGTACACACACACACAAACACAAAACACAGCTCCAGGCTTAGCCTCTGCTTTCAATTACCAGACGGACCGAGGGGAAATCAAAACTTTGACACACCAGGTTGGAAAAGGAGAGCGAGGGAGCCAGGCGATGCCAGAGGCATGCGGGTGCACGCAGATGTGCACGCCTGCACACAAACACACAGCAGCGATGCACAGACTCAGCCTCAGCTTTCGAGCAGGCGACAGGCCAAGGTGTACAGAGAATGTAAAAACATGACATTGAGGAGAGGGAAAAAAGTTGTGTAGCTCAGTTCACAGCCATGTTTTGTTTTTTTAGATTTTTTTTTTTTTCTCCAGTTGCCTCTAGGGAGGAGAGTGTGTGGGAGGGGTCGCTGAACTACTGTGACCCGACTACTTATTTTTATTCCATGAAACGATTCGTTGCCGCTCTAAAGGCATTTCCCAGTGGTTGGTGTTTTATATTTATCACAGACGAGCTCTTTCAGACGCGTCACAGGAGTTTAATTTATCTGCATGAAAACAAAACAAGGGACATTTGATTAACACTACATTGATCATGAGAGGGTCAGAAACAAACCACATCCTGAACGTTACTGGATTAAATATGTCGCATCTGTAGTGGAAGCACTAAAAACGACTTCCGCATCATCGATGTTAAACTCTCACGCCTCGTGGAGTGAAACGAAATCCCTCTTGACCAAACTACGATCTGGATTCCGCCCTGAATTTTTTCATAAATTATAAGAAATGTAATGTTTTAGGGATTTAGTTCTAGTTGTTTGGGCCGGAGTAGTGACAGGAAGGTGGTATCCTCGTTCAAATCCCAGAGGACCAAGTAAAAAAACAAAACAAACCCTGAACATTAACGGTGAATGAACGTCTCAATAACTAATGTTGACAAGTCCCTATGTTGACATGTCCGCCTTCCAGTTTTTCCACTGGAGTTGCTGGGGGGTCAACAGTTAGCTCTAGAGAGCGGCAGCGGGAATGTGCGGCTCCGAGGCGCGAATGTGTAAGTGTGAAGCAGGCGGCTGCTGGAAAAGGTCATATGTGCTCAGTCAGGACAAATAAAAGAATAAATCATTTATGTTTACGTGTGCTGAAATGGTTCCACACTGTTCCACACGTTTTATAAAAGATTCATTCTTTCCCCTCGTTTCTCACCTCGTTTCTTTTGGCCACTCGTCTGGCCACAATGAGCTGGATCATCCCACGTTTGTTGCCCTCCGTTGACATGGACTTGCGCAGCGTCTCCATGGCATCTTGGTTGGTTTTGCCCAAGAGCGACTCGCCGTTGACAGCGATCAACTGGTCGTTCACGCAAAGCCGCCCGTCCTGTTGATGCATTAAGAAAATGACACGATAAAAAAATTGTAGCACAGAAAATAGTTTGAGGTTTTTTTCCAACTACCAAATGCATGCTGGGTCATTTTTAAAAAGCAGATAGGCATAGCGCCAACGTAACAATCAGCTTTATCTGATCCAACAGTCTGACTCGCAGTGTATCCTGTTTCTATTCATGATCTAATGCCTGACGGAGGAGAGCTTTTAAGTCCATTATCATGTGCTGTCAACACAAGCTTGAAGGGATGAAAAACAATCAGGTTAAAGGGAATATTCAGCTCTTCAGACAACCACAGCAAATAAAGCACTTTGTGCTCACAGATGTTATCACAGATCAAGCTTTTCTTCATAGATGCTGACAAACAGAAAAGTCGTTTTACTTCACTTTCTCTGTTCGGAGGTTAAACCACCAGAGTCAATGTAACATTTCTTTCCCACAATAAAAACTACACAAACGCTTAGAAAACAGATTATCTCACATTTTGATCATTTAAATGAACATATTGTTTAAAGCAGACACTCTGCTCAACTTCAAGTTGATAATTTTAAGTTGTGTTATTACTGTAAAGGTCTAAAAGCTGTAATGTTCAGAAAACACTTTCCTCAGACTGTCCATAGCTGCAGCTCCTCTTTTCAGCCTCTGTCTCAAACACTTGGTTTTAGCTCCTGTCTCTTTAAGACCCCCCCCTCCTCCTGATGAAACCCAGTCTGCTCTGATTGGCCAGCTGGACCACTCTGTTGTGACTGGCTAACCGCTTCCTGTGCGTGCAGGAAATGAACGTGGCTACGTTAAAGGGCGGCCGGACTAGCTGCTGGGTGAGCAGTGTGCAAACACGCAGAACATTCACAAAAACACCCTAGAGGACAGAAACACTAACTAAACATTAGCTAAAGCGTCAAACGTCTCCTTTAATAGATTCTTCAATTCTTGAACAAACAGACGTCCCCTTTTTAAACCTCTGAAACCTTTAATTAATCACAGCGCAGGGATCTTACCTTACAGGCTGCCCCTCCGTTGATGATGGATTTGACAAAGATGCCCAGGTCAGCGTGGTTCTCCTTGGAGCGGTTGCCTTTGACGCTGACACCCAGACCTGCTGAACCCGAGTCGCTGAGGGGGATCTCAAAGGTCAGGAACTCCCTGGTCCCATCTGGAGTCAGGACCAGTTCATCCTCCTCCGTCTTCTTCAAAACAAAGACAGATTAAAAACTGAGAAACCGAAACCTAACGAAGAGACACATCTTTCTAAGAATGAGCCCTCACACCAAACTCAGAATCTTGAGGTGCACAGCTCACATTTAAATTCAGTTAAATGCTCGAGTGATTAATTATGCAGAAGCATTCATGCATTTATTCCAGCCTGAAGCAGCAAACACACACGCCCCCGTAGCCCCGCGACGCTTTCACCAGGTTCCTGCGGGTGAGCCGAAGGGCCAAAGTTAAAAGGACATTCATTTGGCCACTTGAGGTTAATGAAAAGTGCTTGCACATAAATTGCAGCAGGGCAGATAGCAGGGCGGTAAATCAGAGCGCAAGCTCATTAGCTGCATCAGATATATTAGTGTTAAACAAAGCAGCACTCCTACGTGTTAAATTAGAAACCTGGTGTTAGCAGGCAGGGACTTATGTTCTTTAATCAACGCACAATGCTCAGGTTTATCAGCGTGAAAGGTGGATTTTTGCTCTTGATATGGTTTAATTATTCCTCTTGTCTGGTGTTTTAACTAAAAAATATGTTTTTAAATTAAAACTGCAAAACCAGGATGTGGACGAGTGTAGAAATGTAATTTATCATATTTGTTTTGTGAAATCCAGAGAAATGATCAGATATTGTTTCTCTGCAGCTCTTATTAAGTCTGAATGTAATGAAATGAACGTTTAAAGCCTCGTTAATGTTCGTCGTTGCTGTTCGCTCGTCGAGCATCTCCGACCTTGTTTATCTTTGAGTTCGCGGCTCGTCCAGAGCAACATTGACTGAACTGGAGGCAAGAGTCTGTGAAAAGGTCAGAGCCTACACACATCTCTATTACCCTTCAATAATTACGGAGCATGGAGATTCTCAGATTCCGGAGACTCATCGGTAAAGAAGCATTCTGCAGGAATCTTTGGAAAAATCTCAGCTAATGGTTTATCAAGGCAAAGAAGCTTCTTTCTTCTTCTTTGCCCCCTTTTTTTTTTGCAGTGTTTTGAATTCTTCCCAGCGACGACACCGAGAACACTGCACCGAGTTCAACCTTCCTCAAGCACGAGTACAAGAGGATCGTGGTGGATTCCAGCTGCTCTATCACTTTTCACACTTTATCTCCAGTCAGGCAACAAACAGGCCTGAGTCCAGATTCAGCCTTTAACAAAATGAACCTTATTCTAATGTTTATAGAAGCGTTTTTAAACTTTGTTAAACCCAAAAACATCAAAAGGTAACGTCACAATGTGATTAACAACATGAAGGAGGGACGGACTTAGTGATCACCTCCCTCTGCTGAGGGGATAAAAAACGATTTACCTGAAGAACCAACTCCACACAACCATGCACATGGATGATGATGCCATCAAACAGGAAGTAAACTTCTCACTAACCCTGCATGAACGCAGCAGCTTAATTGACATGTTGAGTGTTCGCTCTTTCTCTCTCTTTGCCTCCACAACAGGTGCTTCTCTCGCTCTCATCCTCCCTCTCTTTCTCTCTCTCCGAGCTCAACAATAAAAAGCTGTTCTCTCTCGCTTGTTATTTGACAGCTGTCCCCTGAATAGACGGGTGCGTGCACGCTCGCGCCTGGCAATTATTGTGCACGCCTAATGAATTCAATCATCGGGCTCGGTGTCAGCATGTCATTAGCTCCCTTTGTTTGCCGGGAGAGAGATGGAATTGCTCTGGGTAGAACAGAGAGGAGAGAAAGAGGGATGGAGCAAAGTGGAAGAGGAGGAGGGTGAAAGCAGGATGTGCAGGGTGAGGAGGAAAGGGAGGGAAGAGAAGGAAGGAAGGAATATAAAGGACGAGCGAGAATGACAAGCAACTCAGAAAGAAGTAATTTTACCTGGAATACATTTGTGACATAATTAAAACGAAGGCAACAAAATTGGATATCAGACTATCGGATTAACAGAAAGTGTTTTCTGGAATTAAATCTAAGTGACCAACAATTGCTTCATCGTCTCGACCCTGAAACGTTCCGAGTACGAAAACAAAAAGCAGAGAAGAGTCTTATAATTAAAAAACGTATTGATGAAACCTAATGTCATTTCAAGGTCGTGACATTTATTCACTGATACGAGGGATTTAGAGATTAACAATCTCTTTATTAAAGCATAGAATTCAATCTAATTTACACAAGAATCAACCTTTTGTATTTGAATCCCAAACACTACATATATAATACAAGTAATGTTCGTAACATTCAATTTCAAATGAATTATACTTTTTAAAATTCAGTCTATGATAAACAATTGGCAGATAGTCTTTAAATATATATATTTATATTTATGTCTGTAAAATCAAAAGCTCTGCTTCAGCTGTTATTTACAACTGTCACGCTAACACAATGCTAGCTCAAGCAGCTAAAGTCAACAGATAATCATTGTATCATGAACAATTACAATGAACTATTTATGCTACGTTAAAGATAGTTTCCAAACTTTGATGCGTAAAAACCTAAAAAGTTTTTTTGCCTTTCAAAATTAGGCCTCTAACGTAGCCTCGCTAGTAGATTCCTCCTCGTTTTAAAGCACAATTTGTCTGATTCTTTCATTTCTTAGCAGATGATTTGACGGTTTTCAACATATTAAGTATGACTTTTCTAATCTCCTAAATTCAGAGCGGAGAAGCAGCTGCCTGAACCAAAGTGGAACATGTAGAACTAACAGACCTGGGAATTTATAGATAGCAAATAATACATTTTATTATCAGGTACATTATTTGAGTATTTCTCTATTTGTTCAGCTACATGCCTTTAAATGATACTAGCTTATTGATTTCCTAAATTTTTATTTTTAACTTGTAAAGCACCTTGTAACTGTGTTCTACAAATCAACTTTATCATTATTATTATTATATTAAAGACATTTTAAATAACATGAGCCACGAGAGAGGAAAGAGAGGACTTGAAAAAAAAGAAAGAGAGAGAGAGCAAAGAAAAACAGTAAGTTGGGCAAAGGTGAGGGAGAAGAGTGATGGGCTGGAGAGGAGGGACAGGGACAAATAGAGCGCGGGTGAAAAGCCGAGGAGCCGAGGAGAAAAGGGTGAAAAGAATGCGAGCGTGACGATGACGGAGCGAGCGAGTGTGAATGAGAGGCAGACAGAAAGAGATGAATCCATGTGGAACACAAAAGGAGACAGACACTGCCACCTCTCTCACTGTACGTCTGTATCTCTACCTCTCTCCGTCGCTTTCTTTCTCCACCTCCAACCTCTTTTCCCCACCTGTCTTTTTTTGTTCTTTTTAAAAACCCTCCGCTCATTTTCTTCGCCACGCCAACCCTCAATTTCACTTCCATCTCCCCGTCTTCTCCGTCCCTTCTATTTCTTAAATCTTCCCATTTGTTTCCTGAGAGCACGTCTGTGCTTCTCGTTTTTCTCTTCGTCAAAGTCCAAACCGACATCACGACCGAGCGTCACGTGTTCCGGGCTCAACCTGTTGATTTGATAACATCTGAGAAAGTTGCGGGCGAGGCAAAAGAAAAAGACGGAGGTGAAGAGAAAGAAAGGGAGGGAGGGAAAAGGTGACAAGGAGGCAGTGAAGGGTGTAATTGGTCGAGGGAAGTCGGGCGTGGAGAACATTGTTGGCTGCCAACTGTGGCACAATCCATCTCTTCTAATTCATACTCTGCCTCTCTCTACCTATTCCTCCCTTACTTGCTATCACTTCATTTATCTCTCCAACTCTCACCCATACATCTCCCTCCTCTGCTGAGTGGCCAAAAGTTTGTGGACACACTCACCCACACCGGTGCACTTTTTATTCCTGGGTCTGTTTTTCTTGTTTCGTCCTAAAATAAAGCTCCGATTTCAAAATGACTGAAAATCTCTGTCTCTCTCTCTCTCTCCCCTTCTTCTTCATCTCTCCGCCACACTCCACCGCCTGTTTCCCTCTATTCATGTCAGCCTTTATTTTTCTCTTCCCCTCACCTGTCTTCCCCTCCCTTCCCCTCGCTCTCCCTGACACGTCTCGCTGTAGCTCCATGCTGATAGACCATGAATATCAAATACCGGTGTGATCGACGGAGCCGAGACTGGCGCAGCGTGGAGCGAGAGAGAGAGAGAGAGGAGAAGGCAGGTGTGTGTGTGTGTGTGTGTGTGTGAGAGAGAGTGAGAGCGAGCACAGGTCCATGTGTGTCTGTAAGTGGATGCGTGTCATTATAAACACGCAAAGCAGCATGTGCACTCGCTGCAAATGTCATCCTTACATATTGTGTGTGTATACGTGCGTGCACACACATGAGAATACAGCAAGTGTTGGAATAACGGATACACACACTTCACACTTATTGTCCAAAACTAATCAGCTGCCCTCTTCTCTCCCTCTTCTCTCTCTCTCTCTCTGACAGTCAAACACAATGTGGCTCGCTCTTTGCAGCTCCACAACCCACTAGAAACCATTCATAACCTCATCCAACCCGGAGCAATTACATCAGCAGCTGCTCCCAGTCTCTCCACGTATGTGCGAGTGTACTTGTGTGCGAATGTGTAGAGGTGTTTTTGTGTGAAGTTCACCATATGGCTTATGTGTGGGTTTCTATGTGAGTGTGTGTGTGTGTGTGTATTCTTTAATGTGCGAAAGCCTCAGTATGGTTTATGTAACTGTATACTGTGAGGATTGTGTGTGGAGTATATGCTGTATGGGTGGCAGTGTGTGTGTGTGTGTGTGTGTGTGTGGGCCAGGTGGCTGCTTGAAACATCACTTTAATTAAGCCGCAGAGCCTGTTCTGTGGTAGAACGGCCCTCTCTGATTGACTCGTATGTGTCACCAACAGGCCGCAACACAACACGGGAGCAGCATCGAGCCTGCTGCCACAGAGCTGCAGCTATTAATCACTGCTGCAGCGCTATTTCACTAATAACGAAACAAAGTTACGCAACTTCAGGAAAACGACTCCCTGGTGCTGAAACACAACTCAAGCAAATTAAATTCCTGCTCAAAACTTATTTTTAAAGGAAATGTAATTTGTTACTCTGCTGTTTTAATTGCTTTCAATCCTTTTCATCATTTCTTTACTTGCAACTACATTTTACGCAGTTTTTTAAAATGGGACAGCTTCTAACTTTGTTGTCTATGACATAGTGCTGCCAGTAGCCACTCAGATTCAGTCTTTTTAACCTTGTTTAGATAAGTGGAACTTAAGTAAAGTTATTATTATTGGAGTTCTGTTTTATGTGAGCAACATTTTTAATTCTGCTGTTCGTGGATGTGGAGCGAACATAAACTACTTTAGTGTTGAATTGATTCATCATATTTTGTGAAATAATAATTATGCTTCATTGGAAAATATTAATAGTTTAGCGGCTGTTACATGATATGAACCTTTTGCCGCTCGGGGGGGGGGAGGGGTCACTCAATCAAGACCTAGTTTGACGATGTCGTGAAGCAGCGTGGGATCGTGGGAGTTATTGTCCCAACAACCATTGCTGATGAAAATCTACCTGATGCGACTCTTAATCTTTTATTCGTGTTATTCTGCAACAACATGAAAGCGATGCGAGTCTCAGAATATTATATAATATAACACATACGCTGCGTCATGCATAGAAGACAGCCTCAGTTAAACCTCCGTCATTACACAATATGCCAACAGATTGCTGCTTCCTATATGGAGAGGAAACGTGCACGTGTGAGAGATAGCATCTTAGCAGTGTGTTCGCTGATGGCTTTTCAATGCAGCATTGCAGTAATTTTCCATAAGCCTGTGTGACTAATGGTGTAAACAATGGAGCTGAATGTTCACGTTATGGGTCTATTATAGGACTATCAGGGCAGGCGTGTAAAGACAGATGCTTTTGATCAGCGCTCTATTGTAGAAGCCAGGTGCAGGGAAGAGGATTTGCATCTTTAAGAGTGTGTGTGTGTGTGTGTGTGTGTGTGTGTGTGTGTGTGTGTGAGCGAGAGAAGGAAATGGGGAGGAGAGAGGGAATGGAGGGAAATAAAGAGATGAAGAGTCGTAACAAAGAGGCGGAAACAAGAGGAAAACTAAAAGAAAATTGAACAGACAACGAGAGAGAGAGAGAGCCGTTAGGAAAAGAGACAGAGAAAACCCACTGAAGTGTTTTGTTTTTACAGCCCATTGGCAAAGCAACAAATTACTTAAATGACTCCCAGTCTATTTGTGCAGCCGGCCAAAGTATCTCATTTGCCTTTTTCCCCTATGCAGCAAAATGGCCCAAAGCTTGTGATGTCATGCAGCGATTACCTCAATCAGCCAATGGGGTTTCCCGGCTATCACCGGCTGCCTTGGTTGCTAAAGGGAGCAGTGGACAAGTCAACAAGTTAGACACAAGTTCGGCCCTTCGGAGAGCAGTCACTGACAATAAGGGAGGGAGGGACATCAAGAGAAATATAAGAATATGGTGAGTAAAGGGGCTGACAGTCACAGCTGAGGGGTTAAAGATCCACAAATGCACCTCAACATTATGAATCAAGTAGAAAGGCAATTTTTTTGTTCAGTCACAACAACAGGAAAATGTCCTGAACATATAAAGGTGCGAGGTGGAGCCTGGGTAGAGCAGCAGGAGGCCGGACGTGAAGTTTAACTGCATTAATCACGCGTTCTTTGTTTACGGCACATCGACACCTGCCTCTGCCCTTATCAACAGAGATTTTCCGGACATTTGCGTTCTCACATACACAAATATCTGATGTCTACAGCAGCTTGTGTCTGTGTGTGCGTTTTAGCCACCCACATGCCTGAAAGCCGAATTCAACAATCCAGCGCGTCACAGCTAATGACAGCCTCTAGTGGACTGCTGTAAAAACGTGGGTGATGTTTGGATCACTGGAGCGATTTCTAGAAGTGAGAGCTTTTTCCACTTCAGCTGTTGCATTTTGTCTGCCGTGTAACCCTCGACACAGCTCTCTCTCTCTCTCTCAGGAGGAGTCACAGCAGGGCAACCTCAAAAGTGCCAGCTCCAAACCATGTATTTAAATATTATACTAAATTCTGCAAGCTTTTTACTTTGGATTTTAAACTAATTGCACTTTTCTATTAAACAAATGATGGACACTAATATTGAAATCATTCACTGCTCCACCTCTCAAACTTTAATTCTCTCTCCATCTACAGGAAACAAATCTTTTACTTGACGATGGATGATTGTCCATTAAAAGCTGAAGCTGAACAGCAGCACAGAGCCTGTGTTGTTGTTGCTGCTGTTTTTGTTGGCGGCAGCAGCAGCAGCAGCGGCGAGATGTTTAAAATGAGACGCCTGACAACAGATAACATCTGAAAGGTACTGAGTCCATTACGGTGGTTGATGTTCCGGGAAAGGGAGAGGAGAGGCTCATGTGGAGGTTTGGAGGCAGGAGGGCAGGAAAGGAGGGAGGTGAGGGGAGACAAAATGGGGGCAGAGAGGAGACAGCATGGTCACGGTGCATTTCCTCAATCTGTCTGACTCAAGTCCCTGCGGTCACATTGATTTTTAGGGAGGTCAAGATCCAAAATAGGAGAAAACACTTTCCCTCACTTCCCTGAGCCCTGAGAGGTGCGTTAGGCAATATATGATCTATCCCCATGATGTCCTGTCAGAGCATGAGACAATAGTGGCTCAAAAAAAAAGCTTCCAACAGGCGCTCGACCCAACTATTAGACTTTTACATCAATTCCAGGAAAATAAATAAACCCAACACTGAAGAAATGAAGTTTTGAAACTCTCCCCGCTGCTGTTCCTTGAAATGACAAAGTACAACGCTCACAAGGTTTGTACAGGATGTAACATTTGTGAGAGTTGGCAGCTCTCACCCAAAACACAACAGGTATTTAGAAAGAAACAAATCCCCGGTGTTCTTCCTCTGCATTAAATCTAACGCTGCAGGAAAGATGTGTCACATGTCGTCGGGTCTGAGCGTCTGGCCACGTGTGAGACGTTTCAGCCGCCACAATAATCGTGCACGCAGCTGGCAGGTACGAGCGCGAATCAGATTAAACGGTCAATTACGCTTCTAATGTGCCGACCAATTACCTGCACTTGGCCAGATGCAAACTGGAGGTGAGGCCAGATGTGAAGATGTGAAGTGCGCGCTTTGTGAAATTACAACTCGAGCTTGGTATGTAAATGGAAGGTTATGAAAATCTGAATCGCTTTTTAATACGAGCAGTGAAGACAGATGTGCGTTTAACAGCTGCTGGATCCTTTTAAGGTCATGTGTGACGTTCAAGACGTCCAGACTGTGGTTGAAGCTGCCGACAGCTGATTCTTCTCATGACCAGTGTGGAAAACCTTGTGTGTAGTTCCTCCAAATATGATTTCAGATTGAAAACATTGTTTTGTGTGTATTTAAGAATTTATATGAACTTGGCATCAAGACGGCTGACTTGCTCCTCCAGTGTCTACTTTGATTTATTTGCTCACCGTGATAAAGGTATCTTTAAAACACTCTGTGCAACCTCGGCTAAAAGGTTAAATGATGAAAGAAATACAAAACTCTGACATGTTTACATAGAAACATAAATAAGATATTTCTTAACACTCCCTAAATTATTTGAACAATGTACATGTATTTCTCCTGCTTGTCTCCTGCCACTCAATATGAATTTCACTGCAAAGAGAAACTGGTTCACGCTACAACGATCCCTTGCAGTCAGGAGGGTGAAAACACATCACGTCTGGCTTCCTGTAGAAACGATGTATTACGATAAGAATGTCGAGTCACCCTCGTTATGGATGGCATCTAATTTGTCTTGGTCTTTGTGGGCGTTCAGCACGGAGACGTGCGCCGTCGGCTCTGTCTGCGTTTTTCCCCCCAATGAAGTGCAACACAAACTAAACAGACTGTTTGTCATTCCCGTCACACGTCCGAGCGAGTCTGCAGCGAGCGGGTCAGACTGACAACCTTATCCACGGCCGTCAAATAAAGCAAACGTCCATGTGTTCCCACCTTCACTGACAAACACGGCTCTGAGCCGAGTGATGGAGCATATTATACTGCAGCACAGTCTGAGCGCTCCATGCTGATGAACCGTGAAATTGTGATTTGTTGGAGCAACTCTGGGTGGAGATTAAAACGAGTGTTTATGACAAACATTTACATGCACGACTAGTGACTTTCACTTTGATTAACCAGCTAGTTTACTTCTGAACCTGAATTCATGGATGAGCTTTGAGCCAAAACACTCGTGTGGACGGAGATAGTTTCAGTTTTAAAACAACGCTGTCGAAGTAAAAGCGTAGTAGTGTGGATGTAACACTGCAGGTTGGTGTTGGTGGTGGAGTCTCACCGAATCTCTGGGGCTTTGCATCTGGGGCTCAGCGTTCTAGAAGATGGAGGGAGGGGGAGGGGAGGGACAGAAGAACCAAACGTTATCAAGTCAAAACAAACAAACAAACATGTGACTGTTTTTAAAGGAACAGTGAAAATCTGACCACAAAGGAGATCGTTGTGGGGGAACTTGTGGATAAATGGAGGCAGCGTGGTGAATAAACAGCCATGCAAGATATGAACACGCAGACAGATGTTAGTGCTGTGTGGTGCACGTGTGCTCAGACCTGGAATATAAACTGTGGGTTAGAAACTGCAGGAGTGCTCACAAGGACAAAATGTCAACCGACGTGTTCTCTCAATATTATTATTATTTTTATACAATTTAAAACTAAACTGCTTAAGGATCAAAATCATAAGTGCAGTGGGTTCTTGTTGAGCTTTGGCACAACCTGTAGAAATAATATAACAGCTGTTGACTTTGTTTTTCATTACAAAACATCAGGTTTGATTAACAAAGCTCAGTAACTGCCATTTTCAATTCAAACCTAAAATCTGCCGTTAACTCTTTAAACTGTGTTGAGCTGGTTTTCGCTCACGTTTTGTATTTTTAATGATGATGTGATGTCTTCATGTTGACCGACCTGACGTGTGGCCTCCTCTACCTCTGAGCTTAGCCCAGCTCATGACTCCAGATAAAGACTGACGCTGCTCATTTTGTGCACTGGACCTCATCTCCCTCGAGTCTTTCACCTCACCCTCTCCTCCCTCCACAGCCGAGAACCACGGATCAAATAAATCCGACCATCTAACGACGCTCAGTCGGCTGGACTCAAAGCAACGCTCTAATCTGGAGATGAGTATCGACCAGTGCGGCACTTCCTCTCATCCAGCTTCACCCGTGGCGACAGGCAGCCAATAGCCTCGTCTACATCTCCTACTGTGATAATTGTCACCAATCAGCCGTTTGATTGACAGCACTTGCGAGCAAATGGCTGCCTGTGCCTATAATGGCCCCAGCGACTGCGGAGGATGCTGGGAGAAACCATTTTTATGACAGCGTAGGGGTGCTTGGGTCTTTAACTCACATTCGTACTTGATAAAGTGGGTTTGAACCAAAACAAAGCACTTAAGCCTCCACGTTCTGCTGCCTTGTTTTCCTCTCAGCCATTATGAGTTCGCTTCTTGATGAAGCAGAGCCGAGGTGACTCCAGATGTGCGATGCATCAAACTCTGTTTCCTGCAGAAATAATGCAGCATAACATCTGGCATCAAACATTAAAAGCACGACCTTGACAGGAGCGAACGGTTGTAACAAGCGCACCAAGTGAATTAGCACCAGTTTGCATGGATCACTGAAGTTACAAGCTGTGAGTGGCATCTGCCCGGCCGGAGTGACAGCAGTCGCATCCAAACGCAGCGCTTCCACAGATTTCTATGGCTGTTCGCACTGGGTAATATGCATGATGTCGCCTGATTGATATTCAAGCCAAGTGTGTTTTCACTCTCTGACTACTACCTGCCCTGCGTCTCTCTGTTCATCCCCACATCCATCAATCTGGCAAGTCAGCTCGGGGGCAAAACACAGTGAGAGCGGAGGAGACGCAAAGATAGAGAAAGCTACGTCACAAAGCGAGAGCAAAGAGGGAGGACTGGTGAATAAGGAACGCAAGGAGCGTAAGCGGTAGCGGATAAAGAAAGACGGAGGCCAAGACGGAGAAGAGGAGAGGGTGGTGGAGATAAAGAGAAACGATTGAGCGCCACAGGTTTCCTCTGAGGCCAGCCACGGCTTGATTAATAGAGAGGAGTGCAGCGACGGAGTGGGACAATCACTCTGCATGCTCGGCTAGCGTGTTGTGTTAGCGGGGAAATGAGAAGACAACACGCCACTCACTGGGGGGATTAACGCCACTCATGACAGCACAGGAGCAAAACTCTACACTCATCCATGCACGGAGGGGAGCGTGTACTGGTGGGAAGTGTTTTAATGCCGACAGGATGAAGAGTTGAAGGAATGTTTCAAAAGAGCTGGAGAGTGACAAACGTACCACTTCTCGGGGGAGGAAGGTGTCTTCCTGGCGGAGGATCAGCAGCCCGACGGCACCACCCATGGGCGTGGCCCTGAGCAGAGAGACCACCTCCTCCTGGGTCCGCCCATTTAGGTCCACACCATTCACCTGAGCAGGAGACATGTTAGAGACATGGACACGAATGTTCTGATATTGATCTCAAATTAGAAAACTGACGGCACAGAACTCCTTTAACTACTAAGTCTTTTTTACTAAACTTTTTCATTTCCTCACCTCCAGCAACCTGTCTCCTGCCTTGAGGCGTCCATCTTGGATGGCAGCTCCCCGAGGCAGTATGTTCTTTACGTAGATGGGTGCCGAGCCGCCGATGGGGACGTCCCGTGACGTGATACTGAAGCCGAGTCCCTCGGGACCTGTGGGACGTGAAGTGAGGGCAGAAGGTGTTGTGATGAGAATCTGGTTTTATCTTGAGGAAACAAGCAGAAGCTCCTCTACTTCCTCAACAACCCTGCAGCTCAGGATACAGTTTGAACTGAACCAGTGTGACTCAGGTGCAGGGAAAACAGTCCGAGGAGACATTTGGCTTAAGTGTTACAGCAAAGATTCAAGTTTGATCAAGATGGAAAAATTTCAGCTTTAGGAAAATAGCAAAAACATAACTCTGGATCCCCAGCAGAAGAATCATTGGATTGAATCATCAGAAATCAATTAGATGGAATCAGTGGTTTAGAGGCCATCTAATGCACCGACTCCAAAAGTTTCTGTACCTTCACAAACTCACATTTATAAACATAGAGCCCAGGTGGAAAAATACCAGAATTGCCCTTTTAGACTAACCACTGTCCACAAGAATCCAGACTGACCACACCCACACTCCCACAGCTCTGATGGAGGCACTTTATTCTTCAGAGGTTTGTACAGAGTCTGCTCCGGATGGCATTGTGGGCAAAACAAAGATATATGAACAATTATGAGCATCGGTGCTGTATCAGCGTCCCGGCCCTAATCCTCGCCGCCTGTCTGACTGACTTGATGCAAAGAAAAGCAGAACACTTAGCTATTCTGTTTCACATCCTCCACATAATCCCCTACATTGATGAGCCAATCAACTTCCCACAGGCAGACGAGGTGCGGTATTATCCTCACCGGTAAATGCCTGTAGCGTCCCCGGCTTTAAACAGGGAGGAGGATCTTTAAAACTCCCATTAGCCTGATTAAGACGTACCTAAGCAATTTCCTGTGCAGAATGGGATTCTTTGATTGATTCTGATACTCCCCGGGATTTGCAAGCAGACCAGTGTTTGATTCAAGCACATAAACAATGCGGGAGTTTAATCTGCGCTCAAAGCTTTGGGCTTAAAGTCGGTACTCAAAACAAAACAGACGAGCCAAACGGCCTCTCGGGAATCACTGTTGATCCCCGCAAGTGTCTGCTCCGACAACAGCGAACAAAAGGTGGAATGAGAAAAGATAACATCTTTGAGTGAGAACACAACAGATCTCCCGGCAAACGTTACACAGCGTGCAGCGTTTTCTCCTGCGTGTTAGGACAAAGACGAGAGGCGGGAGAGAAGAAGGAAAAAAAGAACTGTGACGGAGGAACAAGTGGAAATAGCCACGAGCAGCGATGGAATATGCAACAAGCAGATGGGTGTTTTTATCTTCCGTGTTCTGGCTCCATTCCAGCCCCGAGAGGGCGAACAGATACGGGTGAAAACTTCAACGGGCATATGGCGCAGCCCCGTCAGACTCTTTCTGTGGCATTTGACAGAACACAGGGACCGGCGGCTGCTTAGCAACAAGCTCTCCGGCCCCGAGACCTGGCACCGACACCTGCTACCCTGTTGGCATAGGTCCGCACCACCTGTGCCAGCTGTCACTCACAGACTGAACCGAGGAGATCTCCCCGAAAGTTTTTACTCTTTCACTCAGCATCTCCACCTCCCAGAGACTGTACGGTTTCCTGGCCTCGGGACGCTAAACCCCGGATGTTTTTAAGCCTGTTACATCAGCGTTAAGACTTTGCATGCTTCTGTGTTTGTTCCTACACGTGTTCATGTGCCAGCAGTGAGGGGAAAATTGCTTGTTTGTTAAGTTGGACGACAAAGTCTTGGAAATCACAAAGAATCCTTCGTATAAGTGAGAGACAGGAAAACAAGATGTGAGCGGAATCAGCCGATCCAAAGATCGGAAACGCTGTGTTTTAGTCTGGACGGGCTGAAAACATGTTTCTGTTTGATCAGAGAGATTCCTCCCCTCACCTTTCTTTAGCTGGATGTTGAGCCTCCTCCCGACCTTTTTGGCATACCCCCCCGTTGGCGTGGCATTCAGCCCCCTCTGCGGTGAGTGGGTGTGACCCGTCGGAGGCTTGGCCGCAGACACCGCCGGGTGCGTCAGAGGTGGGTAGCCGTCATTCTGTTCCGGATGAGCGTGGGAATGAGGATGCGGATGGGAGTGCGGGTGGGTTTGGGAACCGTGTCGGGACATCCTCTGCGGCGTGTGGTCCATCCCGGAGACGGTGCTGCCGCTCACGGAGTCGGGGCTAAAACGACCCGAGAAGTACGCCGGGTTCTTCTCTGTGTGGGACAGCTGCTCGTAGTGGGCCTTCATGGACGATGGCACCACGTGGAACATGATGACCGGAGAGCGCATGGCCTGACGGAACATGTTCTGGGCTCTGGAGGAAGAGAGGCAAGAAAAAATTGAAGGGACAGAGTCGATTATTTGACTGATTTCAATCGTCCAATCAATGATTTCAGGCAACATAAGCCTTTTAGAGAAATCTGATAATGTTTGTCTGTATGAAAACATTTTATTCTTCATTAACTTCTACATAATTGGTTGTATTTGTGTTTTCTTTATATTTACTTGTTATTTAACTGAACAATAACCTCATTAATAATTCTTTGACATGAGGATTCTGAAGGGATAATTTAGGAATGACTCCCTAATATCTATATCGGCCCCAAAAATCCCTTTGTCTTATTCTTAATATCTTCCTGAGCCTCTGCTAATAATAAACGTTCATACTTGTCTGCACAAACTCCACCTACCTACCGTCTGTCTCGCTCACACACACCCATACTCTCTACTGTATGCTAAATCCATTTTCGCCCACCTGAACATTCTGACATGTTAATTAATACTTATTTTCAAGCTCTGGCATTTCTAAAACGAGAGCGAACCCTCGCCGACATAATCCCTGATTTGGCTCCAGATGAAGGATACTTCTATCTGTCGGAGGAAAATGCAGAAAATCCTCTTTTAAACCCCCTTCGGTGTGAGCTCGTGTACAGTTGGTGTGAATGGAAACTTATGTTGGCTGTCAGCACCCTGTAACGGTGGAGTCTTGTTAGCACCACCTGTTTCAATAAAGCAGACTGCGGCTGCTCTCCTCGCTCCCTGACAGCTGAACGGACGTTCGGGGAAAACGTCGGCCCCCTGGAATTTCTATTGCCGTCGTATACTATATATATGAATGACAACTCAAACCTATAACCCCCCCCCCCCTCCCCTCCTGAGAATTCTATAGTGAAATTCCCAGTCGATTCTCCCACCAGCCTTTAATAACCCTCCCTGATGGTCATGACTCACCATATTTATGATTTCAGGACAGATCAAGTAGCAGACGAGATATAGTCTTATACTCTTGAATACTTATAATTACACTTGAGGACAATTATAAATTGTTCACCACCCATTCACATGAAAACACACATATTCAATATGCCTTTATGCTGTGTAGAGATAAACAGATCCAGCTCATGTATGCATCAGTGCATTCCTGACGCTGCAGGTGACATTGAACAGGGCATGCATGCATCACGCAGGATCTAGAGAAAAGGGAGGGGGGGAGGGGTAAGCAGGTGGGTTCGGTTTAGCAGGGAATGAAAGCATGACACTGAAAAGCAGAGGCTATGAATGTTAGCAGCCTTATTCCCAATTCCTCCCAAGGGAAGGAAACAGAAAGGTGTAACAATAGGAGTCCAGTGGAGCTGTGACTGGAACACAGGGGAATAAAGGCCGGGAGAGGAGAGGACTGAGGACAGAGGCTGCTTCAGCGATTAAGGGAACAACCTGCAGGAGGTAAACAGGGAGGTTAGCTTTGCTCAGTGACAGGCAGCAGAGGAGCCTGTGCACTGGCAGGGGTGCGGAGAGCAGCGTCAAAGGAAGGAGAGGGGAGAGGTTTAGGTACAAAATCAGAGAAGGAGCAGAGGTACAGAAAGACAAAGTCCGGGGACCATCAGAGCTCAGCAGTGGCTCCTGCTGTCTTACTGTTCAAATCGGATGTTTCGCAGGTCTCCGTTATTGATACGGACGATACAGTCGTTCTCCTGGAAGAGGCCCTGCTGCTCGGCCTTCCCTCCCCTCTCCAGACGCTTGACCAACAAGCCAAGAGTCCTGAAATGTTGAGAGGTTCATGTCAACACGATGCAAGACAACGTCCTCAGATTCAATGTGGCTGCTCTTCCTGCAGCCGGGGCCGGACTGAGGCGGAGGACACACTTTATTATCTACTGGACTGACATGCAACACTCAGGGTCTCTGGACTAAATAGATATTCAGACTTTAGATCATGTGCATAAACTGCAAATAAAGATTGGACGACACCTTAAAAGCGAAGCCAAAGTTCCACCTGCTAATGCTAAAACGTGCAACAGATTCCGAATGTGAGGGAAAGATCGGTTCTCACTTGGGAGAGAGAACTTTGTGCCACTCGCGGGTAATTGTACAATTGAGGCTGAAACTTATTAAACTGATGTCCAACTGTCTGCATGGACGGTGACAACTTTACGTGACTGTGGCCACCACAGTCCAGAGAAATATTGGGAAACACTGCTTTAACATTTTTGTATGTATATTGGGAGTAGGTGGAAATGCATCGTCCATTTATTTTATTTCTTCTACTAAAATTTAATTGCAAATATTTCTGAAGCGTTTTCAGTCTTTGCCTCATTGCTGCCCCTGCTGCCCACATGTGGTAATTGATGATGTGTGTGTGTGCAGTCGCATTTCAACAGGCTGCTTTAGAGGCTGTGGGGGGGTCGGAGCTTTACAGGTGTTAATTCTCTAACCTCTAGAACTCCTGCACCTTTTCTAAGATTAAAAAAAACAAACAAAGTGCTTTTAAAGAGCGACAGACAACAGCAGCATCAAACGTTCTCTGCAGCGTGTTGGAGAGAGGCTGCTCTGTCGCTCTGTACGACTTCAACCAGCTGCTGAGCTGCAACGGTTGTCGCCCTGTAATCCGGTGTGGCAAACTGGCTTATGCCTCCCCGCACAGCCGCAGCGAGAGGCTAACTCCACCTGAAAAGACGCTTTGCGGATTATAGACCCGAGTCGGAGGAAGAAAATCAACAGCAGGCAGGAAACCTAATCGAGTCCTCTTCAGCATATAGTCTGTGTCCGTGTGCAGCGAGGCTTTAGCTCTGAGGTGGTGCGAGCAGGTAAATTGTGTTGATTTTAGGGTTTAATATCCGACCGAGCCTCGGGTTTATAATCCACTATGAATGGGAATGTGATTACAGAGAAGTTCAGGAGTTGGAAAAGTTCAGAGACAATTCCGCTGATTGAATCTGAGCGAGAACACAATGCGATTTGCTGCGGAGGGGCTATTTCACTGATGAAAGCCGACCATCTTAATCTTGGGATAACGCCCAACCTGACATTTCCCCAATAAAAGAAAAGTGCATTATAAATGTGCTTTTAGGCTGATTAAGTCTGGCAGAGAGAAAAGTGATATGATCTTGATTTTCAATAAAGCGCCACAGTGAGTTTTGTAGTCACTGATCATATTTGTGAGTCGTACATAAAGAAACTCTGGACGTTTGTGGGGCTGCAGTCGGTTCTGTGCTTCTGGCAAACACAAGACTTTAGATTAATGCTTTGAGCATTAGTTCAACAATAAGAACCAAATGTCAGGTCTGAAAACTCAACTGTATACTGTATATTGAGCTTCATGACTTCAGGATCACTGCATCAAAAACGCTGCCGCTGTCGTTATATATTTAAACCAGATGTGGAAGTCCAGTAATTCTGTGTGTGTGTGTGTGTGTGTGTG